TATGTGACTTAAATTGTCTTAAAACCCTTAAAACAATTTCAGTATTACTTGTATGCATAAAAAATGTATTTTTACACTTAGTTCCTTATTTATGAAGTTTTATTTTTTTAATTAGTATCAGTAAATCTTGCGCGTTTATAGGGTTATTTGGGTTGGTTATTTAGATACAATTAATAATTGATCATTAATATTTGAATATTGATAATTATTGTTATTTATAATTCATTAAATTTTGATTTATTTAATTAGAAATAACAGCTAATAATTGTTTACAAAAAAAATTAAAACAAACACCCACTACATTAAGCTCATTTCATATTCAAAGGCCAAATATTGGGAAAAAATATATTGAACAATTTATGCTTTTGAAATTTGGATTCTCTCTATCTATTGAATACGTGTTAATATATTGAAAAGATGATATACAGTTCAGACTATTAGTTTAGATTGTATAATTTTAATTATTAAATAACATAAAATTTTTTATTTAATAATTTATATTTTATAATATAACATAATTTAAATTGTATAATAGACAACTCTTAATGTACTATATTAAGATTCAAACTCTTGGACTAATAATTAAGTTGTGAAGTTTTAAAAATGAAATAAATATAACTAACGAATTAAATAATTTAATGATTATTTTTCTTTGTATAAAAAATACTAAATTTGAGTTGCATAACATGTAAGTACGGTAAAATAATAGATAAAAATAAAAAATGATTGTCTGTTATTACACAACCAAAATAAAAAAAATGAAATAAATATGGCAGAAAGGGCAAATTAGCATGACAAGGTTTACCAACCGTCCACCACGCCGTCCCCCCTAACTTGGAAATCGTTAGAGCTAAAAGTAACGGAGAGTAACGACGTCAACAAAAAGCATGGAGAGAGAGACATATTAAAGACCCACCGCACGTGAACCGGCAGGCAGTGTGGCCTGATGAACGGCGGGGGATTGGCGCACGTGAGACATTGCCCCATCTCTCACGTGCCCCACATTCGCCCTCGTCCCATTATCCAATCAAAAACCTGAAATTTTCTAATCCAGTACCTATAATTTTTGAAAATCATAAAAAATGAAATACAAAAAACCGTAATTTTCTTTTCGAACAAAATGAGGCAAAATTGTACAATTATGAATCAATTTGAATAATTTCTAGTAATGTAAACGGCTTATAATTAATTATTAATTTATTACTCTTTATGTAATAGATAAATTCTATTAAAAATTTATTTTT